ACAGTATGATCAATAAGAGTAAGGTATAAGTTATTTTCATAATAGGGCTATACCTCTATTATGTATGTTTTTTGGTTTAGAGATTATTTTTGGTATCGCGAGTATAAGGGCCCGACTAGCCGGCTCCGACATCATGAGCTGAGACCCACGTTCAATGTCTGATATTTGGATGGAAATAAATAAAAATGTCAAGAGTCCGAATTTCATTTAAACTGAAAGGTCCGAAAAAGAAGCATGACTTGTCAAAGCTATAATATAATCTATAGCTAAGGCCGATGAGGGCGAATTACTTCAAAATATGTCAGTCATTGGACAGAACAGGCCGAGAAAGAAGTTGGACTTTGTATGAACCGTGTTTGCATTGACCTTGGTTCTTGATAAGTAAATACGGCTACGATAATTGTCCAAAGTCTTAAACTTAACAGCTGTTTTCAAGCAAAAAAATATCCTTGCAAACATCTTCACGAAGAAGATAGATATTCATGTGAAAAACATGATAATTAAATAAAGTGTGTCAAAGATCAAGGACATGTTCAAGTAAATATAGCGTTTGTTTTGATGCTTTAGAACTAGAAATATATCTGTTATCGTGTTTATAACATCGTATTTACGTAAGTACACTCACTAGGAGATGCGAATCAATGATTAATCTCGCCAACCGATATTTAGTTTAAACTTTAAGAAAAACAGTAGACCCTAAAAATTCAAAATTAAGAACTTTGTGAATTTTCTTTACGTTATTCATTTTGTGAGTAAAAATTTAGTGAAATTTCGTGTATTACAAGTTAATGAAATTATTGAGTTTTTGTTGTTTGGTAGTTGTTAAGCACAAAGCTACACAATGGGCTATATATGTGTGTTCTCTGCTCATCAGGGTTATCGAAATAAACCTACAGATTTACCTCTGAGCCAAAGGGCTCCTTTTGAGTTAAAAACTATAACGATAATCCTTATCTACGATAAATATAATTAATGTAAACAAATAAACAGCGTAAAAGTATACACATTTATAATACATTTAAACTATTCGAGTATATTTCTAAGTACGTTAAATTCGTCGTAAACTACATTTTAAGACATTTCTAAATATTTTTAGTATTTTTTTAAAGTATAAGTTACATTTAAATTTTTAACAAATGTCTACCAACATGCTACAGAAAATATGAGAAAAACATGTTCAACAACGCATGCTCATGAAACTTTAAACGTCAGTGCCAAGGCTACGAATGACGTAATGGGGAATAATATTAACTTAATTTTAAAGACGGTTATATGTTCAAAATAAAATTATAAGTATATATCCGTAGAAACTATAGAAGTGCTTGGCGGGAAAATAGTACTTTTTAGCAAGTAAAGCTATATTGTTAAGTTCTAACAAAAAAAATTCTGCTTTTCTATTCACGGAAAAGGGTCACTCGTGTGAGCGGGAAAATGTGTGTCCAAAATGTATTAATTGAAATTATCCTCAAGAAACAGCGTGTTATTAAAGTTGTGGTACAAGCTGGTACACAGATTTACGGTTGAGAAAGAGTAAGGTTCTCTAACTGGATGTCCAACGACTATCAAGTAACAGAGTAGGGGTCTTCCTCTGTGAACTCTGACTAAATTTGTCATCAAAGAAGTAGTGAAAATACAGTAATGGAAATAATTATACAAACATAAATGATGCACACACACAAACAAGACTCAAACAATGGGTAATGACAACTAGATGGTGAATCTGCTAACAGTACAAAACATTTTAGGTATAAGTGGAATATTCACAGATGAGCTTTGCCCCACGTGTCCAACTACTTCCTGACTTTTTTTATTGTCTGGTTACCTCTTTGTTGTTCTTTTGATCTAGTTTGGTTCTATCCCTTAGCTTAATAACAGATATTGATTCTTTACAGTCTTGGCTGTAATGGACATATTTCCCACATTGATAACATTTTTCTCTTTTTTAGTATCTCCTAGGAGGAGTTCTTAATACATAATTAAAGGCTTTAATCTACATTTCCTCGTGATATGTCTTTTCAAGTGACACTTGAAACATCTATGTTTCTGTAGTCCATTTTCTCCATTCGGCGTAAATAGCTGTTTGATTAATTCTTTCACTTCTTCTAGACTATCAATCATGATGAGGTGGTGTTTCAGCACTACAAGATCTGATACTCCCATTACTTCTAAATGGTACCTTTCGTAGTTTATCTACGACTTTAATGAATTCAAGTTTCACTGACAGCTGGAAAGATTGCTTTAAAAATGTACTCCTACTCTGCTTTAGCCTAATTCGCATATCCTCGTCTGATATGGCATTTATTGGTTGGTAAGATGCCAATGAATCAATTCTTTCACGTGAATCATCCAGGTAAGATAGTTGGACAAGTTTGTCCAAATCTTCTGGAAGTTTGGCTAAGGTCTCTTTATTCCTTTGTACCTTGTTCCAGAACTTTGCTTTGTATACTTCTTTGTGGTGTGTCACTCTGAACTTTTCATATGAGGCAGTAACCAATGCTTGATATTTCTTACCGCTCTTTGTGTAATTTAACTTAATGTTGATAAAGCTGGTCCTTTTAATGACCTGCAAGATGAATAGCTTGTTGTTCACTATTCCACCTTTTCACTTTGGTAATTATTCTGAACTCAGCCTCATATGTCTCCTATGGTACCTTTCTATCATAGTCTGTTGGTTTCTTAATCAGGCAATGTTGTTGAAATGGCCAGCTAAATTGTGGATGAGTATTTGATAGCTACATGACTGGAATAGTAATATTGCTTCTTTAAATATTTTATCTCTTCCTCTATTTTTTAACTCTTCCCATAAATTATTTTCCCTTTTTTTTTCTTCTATAAATTTCTTCATGGTCATCTTTTATTTTCCAATTTATTTATTTTTTGGTCTTCTTTTAATTTTCTGTTTCTTTCTTTCCAATCTTCTTTTAATGCTCTGTCTTCTTTTGTCTGTTCCTCTTCCCACTATCTTTTTTGTCTCCAGTAGGTTTTCTGTTTTCCTTTGTGCTCTTGTTGTCGTAATTAATCTGGGGTTCGATTCTTCGCAATGGATACAGCAGATAGCCCAATGTGGCTTTGCTTTAAAAACAAACAAACAAATTGTCGTTATCTCTAACAGTCAAAATTCTATTTTATTTGTACAAAAATAATCTCACGTCTTGCACAAACTGTTGTTACGTCCTCTATTGTTCGGTTGGTTCTTTTGAATTATTTGGTAAAAATAATGTGCAGCCTAGTCCACACAAGAATAAGGAATTATTTTCATTTCTTCTATACAATATCTACAGCAGGCTATAAACAAAGGTTGCAACACTAACTTCACAAGTAAGTTTAAGCCTAACCTCAAATACAACATTTCAATATAAACTGCAAGACATATCCTTAACTGAACTAACTTTACAAAGATGTAATTCACCAAGAAACTGAATGACATAATAGACGCAATAACTTCTTATTAAATACTTCATTTTGGCTCACTCTGGGCAAAGTGAACAGTTTACTCGTATTTATGACTAATGTACCTATTTGGATCTTAGTGGAATTTCCTAGACCTTAACCTCTAGCTAACATACAAGTTGGAACGTTGAAAATACAACTTCCAACATTGTTACAATTTTTGTACTTGTTACTTATTGCAAACTTTGTTTATGTTTAACGAGCTGGTGTACCTATTTTACGCACGGGGAAGACATAGAGGGGTCAAACCCAAACATCGACATCAATTCTACTTTTTGTGGGGCTTCTAAGGGTATAGATAATCGATCCAGCATTTCACTAGTTATAAGTAGGCGTAAACATACTTTTGTCAAATAATTATTTAAAATATTGGTGTTTATATATACATATAGCCTATATATTTAGTCTATTTACTTAATTTTTTTTAAATGTTGCAAAAATTCACCGAATTTGAAAGCAGTCCTTAAAAACTTTAGAAAAAAGTACATAAACACATAATGCGAAATACTTTTTAAGTGTAAGTTTAATCTAATTTTCCTAAAAACGTACATTAAGTATTTCTTCTGTGCAAACATTATATTATATTACTGTTACGTCTCCGTTTGTTACTTAATTTTCCGTAAATTCGTTCCGACGAAACATTAGCGACACAAGTCCTTT